GCGCAGACGCTGCAGAGCTGCCCCATGTGCCAGGTCGACTTCGCACCCGGGTGAGTGCCCTGCCCTGGGCGTCCCCCTCCGCTGCCACCTGGGACCAGCCATGTTAGGCTAAGAGGTGCCCGAGCTGGGCTCTAGACTTTCCACGTAACTTATTTTGTAAAAGAAATGTATTTTTATTGACTTCAGAAAGGAAGGGGGGGAAGAGAGAGAGAAACATCAATGATGAGAGAACCTTGGATCGGCTGCCTCCCACACACCCCGCACACTGCATGGAGCCTGCAACCCGGGCTGGTGCCCTTGGAATCGAACCTGGGACCCTTCAGTCCGCAGGCAAACGCTCTATCCACTGAGCCAAACGGGTTTTAAAAATCCAACATATATTGTTACTCCTCGTTCTCAGCAGGGAGTTGGAATCCAGCTTTGCTGAGTTAAACTGCCTGGCTGTGGGCTGGGTGTCACAGCGGAGGGCACAGCGGTGGGAGTCATGGGGTCATGGTGGGCAAGAGGACCTGGGCAGGGTCTGGGTCAGGTGCAGGGAGTGGACAGCAGGGTTTGGACTGGACCTGCTCCCGATTTCCCATGGCCTTGTCCCTGCACTTCCAGAAGCAGAAACAGTGAAGGTGACACAGGGCCCTTCCAGCCAGTGATCCAAACGCACAGAACAAAACCTGCACAGGAAGCTCTCAGACACGATTTCTTTCTTTCCTTTTCTACTTTTAAGGTTTTTTAAAAATTGACTTTTAGAGGGAGAGGGAGAGAAACATCCATGTGAAACAGATCAGCTGCCTGCTGCACACCCCCTACTGGGGATCGAGCCTGGAGCCCGGGCATGTGCCCTGACCCGGCATCGAACCAGCAACCTTTCGGTGCCCTGGACGATGCCCCAACCAACCGAGCCACTCGGCCAGGGCGGACACGGTTTCTCACTCAGAGATGAAACCCCTGGCAAAAGTCAGAATCGGGGCTCCTCTCGTCTTCCGACATTTTACTGGAATCAGATCTTTAGAGTCTGGTGTTGGGGGAGTTCAGATGGCACCCCTTCAGCATCCCCTGCCCAGGTCCAGGCAGCGTGGAGTAGAGACGAGAGGGCTGGTGTGGGCGAGGCGACTGTCCTGGGGGCCGGGGTGCTGTGACCCTGCCCCTCGTGTCACTGCGAAAGGTCGTCCGCAGCAGTGACTCTGGCTCCCGCGATGGGCCTGTCCTGGCCGGAACACGGCCAGTTGATTGTGTGGTCCTGGCAGTGCCTTGGCCGGGAGGCCCCTGCGGGCAGGGAGAGGGTGCCTGGGCCGCCTGCAGACCTCCTCCCTGGCGTGGCCACGTGTCCTCGGGCCTGCAGGGCTCCTGGCGTCTCCCAGGCCCGAGGTGGGCTCTGCCACTGCTGGAGGCCGGCCTGACCGGGGAGCTGTCCGGCCTCCTTCCCGCGTTACCCTTGTGGGCAGATGGGCTCTCGGCTCGGCTTCCAGCAGCTGTGCAGGGGCCAGTTCCCCAGGGGCGCAGGGTGCCCCAGCCTCAGCCGCAGAAGGTTGAGAACGCGTCCCACAGGGTCTGCCGATGTCACCTGTCCAGGGTGCACTCAGCGCCTCTGACCCGAGAACAGGATGTGGAGAGGCCGTTCCTGGTTGGGGCGACCCCTCCTCCCAGACCTTTGCTCCTTTCTGACGGGCCAGGGAGACCCTCGGGGTTTCTCCGTCCTCGCAAAGGGCGGGTGTACACAGTGGAGGCCCGGGCAGCGCCTCCGTGTGGCCGCGCCTCCCTCCCGTGAGTGACCGCCCGCCTTTTCCTGACAGGCTGGCCCAGCTGGACATCGACAGCCACATCGCCCAGTGCCTGGCGGACAGCACGGAAGACGTGGCGTGGTGACTGCCCGCACGCCGCTTGCCAGGACCACTGCCCTGCACACAGCCCGTGAGAAAGCCGAAGCTACACATTTAAACACGTCACCGTGGCCCGGCCGGCGTGGCTCAGTGGTTGAGCATCGACCCGTGAACCAGGAGGTCACAGTTCGATTCCCAGTTGGGGCACATGCCCGGGTTGTGGGCGCCATCCCCAGGGTGAGGCAGGCAGCTGATAAGGTTCTCATCATTGATGTTTCTACCTCTCCCTTCCTCTCGGAAATCAGTTAAAACATATTTTAAAAAAACACACAAAAACCTGCTTCCTGGAAACACTTTTAAGGAAAATAACAAGAGTAGGCGCTTTCATGAAGGTCTTTAATGATGTGGGAACAGCGGCCACGGCTGGTGGGTGAGTGTCGGCCACAGGACAGCGGGGGCCACGGCCCAGCTAGTTGTACGAAACCACAGGACGTGGCGACTCCAAACCTCAGGCCAACGCGTCCTCCACCTTCTTTACTTTGTAAAACGGCTGCGTGTAGCTCCCACCACCGCGCACAGCGCTCCCCACACACTGTCCACAGCCAACCCGGCAACCGGAAGCGAGCCAACCCTGACGGGTGCCCCCGGCGGACACATCCAGGCCCGGTGCTGCCCTCACGGCACCCAGCGCAGCGCCCTGCGAGGAGGAAGGCGCTCCCCTGGCGTTCCTGTCACGGGTGCCCTCCCCAGGCCACCGGCCCTGGCCAGTCCCGACCGACCGCTCAGCTCCCGTCCAGGCTCCGCTGCCGGACACCCGCTGGTGGGGAGAGGCCCGGCGGCTCTAGGGCGCTGCCTGTGCTCCGGGTCTTGGTCGGCGTTTCCTGGCGACACGGGGTCGGGCGGACACAGGTCTCCATGATGCCTGAAGGCGGCCGAGACCCCGGGTGGGGGCAGGGCCGAGCCTTGCGTTCCTGCCGCGGTTGCCGGAGCGTGGGCTGCGCGAGTGCAGCTGAGCTGACGGCTCCACGGCGGCCTCTTGTCGCTGTTCCTCCCATCCTCCTGCCCCAACCGCCAGCCCCGCCCCACGGAGGCGCAGAGGGGCCTGGACGCTGGGGGACTCGGTGTCCGGCCAACGTGCTAGGGACTTAAGAACCCGTTAGATTCGCCTCTTTCTAGAAAACCTTCGGTCTGGCTTGCGCGGCCCCTTAACCGGAGGAGGAGGGAGCGGGGACGCTGCCACCGCACGGACTGGGGGCCGGGTGCCTGCGGTTCCGGGTCCTTCGCTCTCCACCTTGCCCGTCACACGCGTCCTAACTGTCCTAATTCTTTTTTTTTTTTTTTTTAAATATACTTTATTGATTTTTTTACAGAGAGGAAGGGAGAGGGATAGTCAGAAACATCGATGAGAAACACCGATCAGCTGCCTCCCGCACGCTCCCACTGGGGATGTGCCCGCAACCAAGGTACATGCCCTTGACCGGAATCGAACCTGGGACCCTTGAGTCCACAGGCCGACGCTCTATCCGCTGAGCCAAACCGGTTAGGGCCTAACTGTCCTAATTCTGAGCATCCCCGGAACCACCGGCACCAACAAAAACGTTCCCGACTCGAACACGTGACACAAGACATCAGTAGGCACCGCGCAGTGTTTGCAGAAATATATTTGAGCAGATTTAGTTTCCAGTTTCCTTGTGTTTGGGTCTGCTGCTGCTCCGGCGAGCAGCACGTCCGCATCTCCCGCCCGATGTTCCCGGCCCGGCCGGCGCCGGCGGGGGAGGAGGGGCGTCAGCGCCAGACCACACGGCTACTCACATGCTCGGTAGGAAAATACTTGTTAA